ATCTTGTCCAGCCGTTTTCTGGCAAGGATGGTGAAGACCTAGAGGAATTCTGGGCAAAGTTTTTAGTTTTGGCCACTGCCAAGGAATGGTCCGACGAAGATGCACGCATGCAACATCTACCCTTATATTTGCAGGGCGATGCATTTCGAGTGTTTTCTCGTATGGCAGAGAGTGACAAAAGCAAACAAGCAGAGGTCAAGAAAGTTTTAGTGAGTGCGTTCAGTGTGACGCCGTCCAGAGCGTATGATTTGTTCAAGCGCCGTTGTTTGCGTGTGGATGAAAGTGTCGACGCGTATGTGGCCGATTTGCAGCGTTATGCAGCGCTGTCGGGGCACAAACCGGGTGGTACCGCCAGAGGATCCGATCGTGATCGAGCAACTGATCGCTGGTCTACAGCCCGAATTTGGCCGCCAGCTGAGAATGTCACTGGCTGGCCAAGAGCTGACGATACCTGCGTGTCTAGAGCGTGTGCGTGCGCTCAGAGCCAGTGAGACCGATGCTCGGTACACGAGCAGGTTCAGCCAGAGCGTTTCTGCTAGTGCCAGTACCAGTAGTTACAGTGGAGGTGTACACCGACCTCGCAGTACTGTTGTCTGCTATAACTGTAATCAGCCTGGGCATGTCCAGCGTAACTGCCCAGAGTTCAAGAAGAAGCAGAAGCCCCGTTTCAGTGGACCAGTAGTGTGCCACTTTTGTGATCAGCCTGGTCATGCAAAGCCAGCGTGCCCTGAGAGAAGGAAGTGGCGAGAAGCCAAGGCAGCAGAACGTGTGGCAGCTGCTGGTACGTCGCATAGTAGCAGTAACAAGTGCCTGTGTGCGGTGTCCACTGAAGCTGCCCCCTTGCCGAGGATCTATGTGGACGTGGAGTCGGCCAAGCCGGATGACTGGTGCCGTGGAGAGGCCATGCTGGACACCGGGTCGGCTCGCACGCTAGTGTCGTCTGGCTTTATACGTGCGGCTAAGATGTGCAACCAAGTGTCGGCGGTAAAGCAGGAGAAGCTCCTCGCCCTGGATGGCGAAGCCCTGCCGATTTCGGGGTCAATTTCACTAACGATTCGTCGCCTGGATGGACCCGTAAATTTGCCGCCTACCCGTGTTGTTGCGTTTGTAGTTCCTGAGCTGTCGGTTATTAATGCTGACCTGTTGCTGGGATCTGACCTTGTCCGTGCTATTGGTGGCGTCAGGTTGCAGTACTCTGAGTCAGGTGATCTGCGGTCCGTGTTGTTTGGTCCGTCACCCGCCAGTGACCCTGAGCCTGTGTCGTCTGTCGTTAGTGATGCTCTGCAGTCGCCGGATCAACACCCGTCTCGGCATGTTAGCGTGGTGCAAGATGGTGAGGACGTGACGCTATCTGTCGAGGATGGTCAGATAAAGTGGCTAGCAGCTGAGCAGTGTTGGCAGGCAGCATGGAGGTGGAAGGACGACAAGCCACCTACCGGACGCATCGGCAGCGGCATTGGGGAGTACCCCCGGAAACTTAGCGATGATCAGGAGAAGCTGTTCCAGCATGAAGTGGACTCCTGGATCGGTAACGGATGGCTCATCGAGCATGATGAAGAGGTACACGGAGCTCCTGCTGCAATTCTGCCATGGCTTGCAGTCAGCCAGGAGCACAAGCCTACTACACCAGTTAGGCCTTGCCTCGACTACCGTGCGCTGAACCGTGCCCTCGTTTCTCAGCCCGGTATGGATGCCTCCGTGTGTGGCGAGAAGTTGCGTGAGTGGCGTACGCACGATGCCAACAAGTATGAGATGTTGGATATTCGAAAGGCCTATCTGCAAGTCCGTATGTCACCTGAGTTGCTTTGGTATCAGTGCGTGAAATGGAGGGGAAAGCTGTACGTGATGACCCGCATGGCTTTCGGGTTAAGTGTTGTACCGAAGTTCACGGACGTAATAGTCAAGTGGTGCACGCGAGATCATGATGGTGTTGACAATTACGTTGACGATCTGTACGTCCCGAAACCGCAGAAAAAGGCTGTTGCGGATACCCTCGAGCGCTATGGCCTGCGGACGAAGCCAGCTGAGCCCGCCAGTTCCGCCCGAGTACTTGGACTTCAGCTGTTCACTGGCCAAGATGGTCAAACCCGTTGGAAGCGTCGAGACGGAGTGAGTCTCGAGTGTGGCAAGCTGACCAAGCGTGGTGTATTCTCGTGGTGCGGCCGACTGGTATCGCACTATCCCGTGTGCTCGTGGCTGCGACCTGCCTGCAGCTTTCTGAAGCGCCTAGCATGTCGTGATGGTGGTGGTTGGGATGATGACGTCCCCAATGATGTGGTAACCTGTTGTGCCGAACTAGCAAGTCGCGTCCAAGATGAGGATCCGGCCACAGGCGTGTGGAATGCGTCAGTGAACGAGCAGCAGCTCACCGTGTGGTGCGATGCGTCTGATGTCGCATATGGCATTGTTGCCGAAGTTGGTGGTGAAGTCATGGAGGACAAGTCTTGGCTTCGCGATGCCGACGAGAAGAAGCATATCAACATCGCAGAATTGGAAGCAGTAATCCGTGGGTTGTCGACGGCAGTCGAATGGAACGCCAGCAACATCCGTCTTGTCACTGATTCCAAGACCGTGTACGGCTGGGTGAAGTCGTGCCTGAACAATGAGCGGCGTGTCAAGGTGTCCGGTCTGAACGAAGTGTTAGTTCGCCGACGACTAAACATCATCGACGACATTGTCGCGACCGCGAAGCTGTCCGTCACCATTGAGTGGGTACCGTCCCAGCAGAACAAGGCTGACAAGCTGACGCGTGTCCCAGATTTGTTCATCCGCTGCTGGAAGAAATCAGCCAAGCCAGATGTAGTTGCTGCCGTCTCTGCACCCCCGAAGATTGTGAGTGCTATTGTGTTACAGGACATTCTTGATGCGCAGAAGTCTGATCCTGTTGTTGTTAGTGTGATTGAGTCTGTGCGTCATGGTCGTGAGATTTCCGACCCGGTATTTAAGAAATTGAAGTCTCAGTTGTCTGTATCTGATGATGGTTACTTGTATCGTAGTGTGAAGGTACCGCCGAATGATGTGCGTGTTGTACCAGTTGTGTCTCAGTCATTGCAGCAACGAGTGGTGTGTCGTGCCCATGCTGTGAGCGGTCATTCCAGTTGGGAGACCACATGGAAGCTGTTGCGTGCGAGTTGTTATTTTGCAAATATGGCTGTTGTTTGTCAGTCGTTGATTCAGTCGTGTGATGTGTGTGCTGCTGCTAATTCGAAGCGTGGGCCTGTTGCAGAGCCAACACGTCTGGTTATTCCATCTGGTCCGTGGAATGTAGTACAGCTCGATACCCTGGAGTTGGGCCCGAATAGAAGCCATCGGTATCATTGTGTTCTTGTCTGTACCGATATGTTTACGAAGTGGGTCGAGGTTGTCCCATTGGTTCGCCATGATGGTCCGTCTGTAGCAGCTGCGTTTGTGGATGTATGTTCCCGCTGGGGTGCCCCAGCAGTTGTACGTTGTAACAATGGAACAGAATTTGTCAATCAGGTAGTTACGTCTTTGTATGATGCATTTGGTGTAGAGGTGCGACATGGTGCAGTGCGTCATCCGCAGAGTCAAGGTGGTGTAGAGCGTTTTAACCGGACTTTGCTGACTTTAATTCGCAAGATTGTGCAGGAATCCGACGATTGGGTGTCTGCTTTAAATGTATTATTGTACTATTATCGTATTCGTCCCCACTCTGCGCTTGGTGTTTCCCCAAGTGAAGCCATGTGTGGCTGGGTTCCCCATGGCTTGATTGTGGACGATGAGCGTTGTGACATGTCCCCCAGTGCATGGGTTGATAGCTTGTATAGTAAAGCGGCTGTTGTGCGAGACTACGTGGAAAGTGAGTTGTCCTCTGCTGATTTTGTTCAGCCTGTTGGGTGTGTGAACCCCTACAGTGTTGGTTCCACGGTGATGTTGCGGCAAGGAGATCGCCGCCAGAAGCGAACAGCGCTGTACGAGTCTGGATGGACAGTTGATAGTGTTGTGTCTCCATCAACTGTTGTAATTGTTCGAGACACTAATGGTCGACATTCGATGAAGACTGTCAATATTGATCTAATTAAGCCGTCAAGTGTGAGTGTGCCTGAGTATGATGATGCATGTGCTTCAAGTACTAGTGATTCTGATTCTGATGTACCAGCCCAACCACTTCAAGTTGGTGGTCATCGTCTTCGCAACCGTGCTGGTCTTGTTCCTCCTGTTCGTTACCGTAGAAAACTGTTGACGCGATGTCACCAGGGGGAGATGTGACAATGTATTTAGTGTGACGATACAATGTGTGTGTAGACAAACATTACGATTATGTATTTGTTGTGGTGACATCTGTCATCAGTGTGTCATGCCTCTTACCTCATTTTTGCTTCATCCGTAGTCCGCTTCCATTGTCCTTGTTCTATATTCTATTCTATTTCTTCTAGTGCTAGTCGTTTCACTTCTCATCTTTCCTTGAAGTAGTATATTTGAATTGTAACTGTTTTCCTGCAACGATCGATCGTTGTGTTATTTATTTGTGTCTTGACTTCATTATTTATTTCGCCAGCGCCTGCAAGGCTGCATGCGCATGCTAGATTCTGTGTTCACGCGTGAGTAATGATGTCATCGCTATGCCTTTGCTTGCTGCGCGTAGTCTTGTTGTTTTCTTTGCTTCGTTCGAGTTGCTGTTGCTCGACTTCGTTTTCTTATCTATTTTCTGCATTCAATGGTGGCCGTGATGGCTGTCGCTGCAATAGCAGCTTCAGCCACGACGGGCCTCTATCGGTTGCTCTGCCGCCATGTTGGACGCCATGTTTTAGACGTGTCTTTTCCTGGCTGAAGTGCTCGTGATTTTGTGTTCTTGTTGTTCTTTTCTTGTTCTCTCTCCTTTTCCTACTTGCATTTTTCGTGATTCATACGTTTCCACCAAGAGGCTGCCGTTTGCGCTGGTGTGTTGTGTTGGGCGAAGAGGGGTGATAGAGAGACTAGATAGCTCCAGTTCTCCCACAACCATCGTGTGGCAGGGAAAGACTTACTGCATGGAGCGGATGGCCTTTGGTCTTAGTGTGGCGCCAAAGCTGATGGATGCTATTGTGAAATACTCCATCCGTGAGTTTCCCGATGCTGATAACTTTATCGACGACATCATTGTTCCGTCCGAGCAGTCAGAGTCTGTGTCTGCTTGCTTAGAGACCTACGGTCTGCCTACAAAGCCTGCTGTGAAGCTTCACGAAGCCACTGTCCTTGGTTTGAAGCTGTCATCTGCTAGTGACGGAGTGCGCTGGCAACGGCGCGACATCACAGACATCGAAGCACCACAGTTGGCAACCAAGCGGAATGTATTTCAGTGGTGTGGGAAGCTGACCAGCCACTACCCCGTCTTCTCATGGCTGAGACCGCTGTGTTCATGGTTGAAGCGGCTCGCATCGTTGGTTCGTGGCTGGGATGAACCGCTGCCAGAGGAGCTGACTCGGCTGTGCCAAGAAGCTATGGTGCGCGTGCTGGCGGAGGACCCAGTGCAAGGTGTTTGGAACATCCCAACTGCTGCCACCTGGAGCGTGTGGTGTGACGCTTCGGATATTGCAATCGGTGTCGCTATTGGTGTTGGTGACCAGATCGTGGAAGACCAAGCGTGGTTACGGAAGCCGAACGACCGTCGTCACATCAATATTGCAGAGCTGGATGCTGCTATCCAGGGTCTTGCACTTGCGTCCAAGTGGAATGTGCAGAATCTCGTTTTGCACACCGATTCGAAAACCGTCTATGGCTGGCTGACGTCACTGCTTGATAATTTGAAGCGTTGGAAAGTCAGCGGATTGCAGCAAGTTCTTGTTGAACGTCGTTTGCAGATCATTGAAGACCTGGTCGCTACATCGGACATGATTGTCAAAGTAGTGTGGGTTCCGTCGAAGCAGAACCTGGCGAATCAACTGGCCCGTGTGCCCGAGCGGTACATGCGGTACTGGAAGCAGCAGCAGCAGCGTGAGACCGACGCATCGGCGGATAGTGTTGCCACTGTCGCTACAGCTGCCGCGATTTCGACCAGTCCTGTCCCGTTAGCTGAGATAGCTGCTGCACAGAAGAACGATCCAGTTATTGCGCGTGTCGTTGCGCAGTTGACTGTTGGTGAAGATGTCTCTGTTGATGCGTACTGCAAGGTCAAGTCTCAACTGTCCGTAGTTGATGGCTTATTGATCCGTACGGTCAAGCTTCCTGTGAATGAAGAAGTGTCTGTGCCTGTTATTCCGTCGTCTTTACATGAGCGCGTATTAGTGGCTGTTCATCGTGTCATTGGCCATGCTGGATGGGAAACCATGTGGCAATTTCTGCGTTCGCATTGTTTCATGCCGAACATGTCGTCATTGTGTCAGCAGTTCGTCAAGGCGTGCGGTCAATGCCAAGCAGCGAATCCTCGTCGTGGCCCTCGTGCCCTGCCAGCGCGTGCTGTGATTCCGTCCCATCTGTGGGAAGTCGTGCAGATTGACACTTTAGAACTAGGTGGAGATGATCGATTTCACTGCGTTCTAGTGTGTGTGGATATGTTCAGCAAATATGCCGAAGTCATCCCGTTACGTCACCATGATGGTGCTAGTGTGGCGCAAGCTGTTGTGTCTGTGTGCTGTCGCTGGGGACCGCCCCGTGTAATTCGATGCGATAATGGAACAGAGTTCGTGAACGTCATCGTGGAAGCCCTATTCACCAAATTTGGTGTTACCGTATGTCATGGAGCTGTTAGGCACCCTCAATCGCAGGGAGCAGCCGAGCGGTTCAACAGCACGCTACTTACTTTGATTCGGAAAGTACTGCGAGAGTCAAGAGATTGGCGTTCTGATCTCGATCTGCTGCTACACCATTACCGAGTACGGCCGCATTCAGTAACTGGCATTTCGCCAATGAAAGCCATGTGTGGTTGGCAGCCGACCAATGTGATTGTGGAGTCTGAGCAGCCGAGCATGTCATCCGGTGCGTGGGTAGACCATTTGCAACAACGTAGCGCGCAGATCCGTGACCACATTGAGATGGAATTGTCGAAGGAAGATCCTGTACCGAGCGATGCCTTTGAATGTCCATACAGTATCGACACACCAGTTATGCTCTGTCGCCCAACACGTCATCAGAAGTGTCTTTCGCCGTACGAAGGTGGTTGGCTTATTAAATCTGTCATTTCGCCATCTACTGTTGTCATTATTCATACAGATGGTTCTGGCGAAAAGGTTATCAATATTGATTTATTGAAGTATGATCCTGCTGCAGATGTGTGCGCTGATGACAGCTGTGCTAGTGTGCCTGCAGATAATGATTTGGATGATTGTGTTGTGCTGCTGCCTTTGCATGAGCCTGCTGTTGTGCAGCCTGGCCCTGTTTTGCGCAACCGAGCCGATTTGCAGCAACCCGTGCGTTTTCGGTGATATTTGCCTTTGCTCAGTTTTTGGGCTGTTTTGCAGTTTAATTTTCTCATTCTTTTTCTTTATTGTGTTGGTGTCCTTTATTGTGGCCACCAGGGGGAGAGGTGAAGTAGAATGACCCCCCTTGATGTGTACAGTGTACTACTTCATGCTGCTCTTCTTACGTCGTACTGACTTGCGTCAGTACTTATGCATTCTTGTACATCATGACGTATTCTCTTCTGCTGTACCTGATTTAGCCTGTCGTGCCTGGCACGCGATCTCTTTTGTTCCTTAGTTCTTTCTTGCTGTTTTGTGCGGAAAGGAGCGTAGTTTTGATGGCTCCTTTGCATTTGTTCTTATTCATTGTATAAACCTTCGGTATGTAATAATAATAGTCCAATTCTCCCACACAGCTCTGGATCGGAACGCCGCACCATCCCATGCCCGACCTGCTCTCCGAAGTTCACACATCCCCAGTACCTGGCTCAACACAAATGCAAGAAGTAACTCTGCCCTCCTTGCCTCTTTGAGGCACTGGATCACCTTTAGGTGGCAGTTTCAAGGCTCAAGGTTCAAGGTTCAAGGTGTGTGTGTGTGTGTGTGTGTGTGTGTGTGTGCGGAGCAGAGACGTGGACACCGAAGGCACCAGACCTGCGCTCTCTCAACACCTTTCATCACCAGTGTGTTCGCATCATCGTTGGCGTATCCAGGCGGGTCCAGAGGGACAACCGCGTAACCTCCGTTACCATGTCCCGAATCCTTGGCATTGACTGTGACGTCGCGTACATCATCCGAGAATATCGACTGCGTTGGCTTGGCCATGTTGGCCGGATGAACGACGACCGCATGCCGAAGCGAGTTTTGTTTGGGGAGCTCCCTGCAACACGCCCTCGCAATGGTCCACGCAAGCGGTGATGTGACGCCATTGTGGATGATCTCCGCTCCATCAGCCCCCCTGTGCCTTCTGACTGCTGGTTGGATGCTGCCCAGGATCGCTCTGCCTGGAGGCAGATTGCTCATCGTCGTCCTCCCGCCCGTGCTCCTCCTGATCCTGACTCTGGCTTCCGCTGCGCATGTGGAAAGGTCTGCCGTCGTACCGGGGACCTCAAGCGCCACGCTCCGTACAGAAAAGCTAGCAGATAGTCCCTTCGCTGTCATTGCCATCGGCAATAGGCACGTTCAAGGTTCAAGGTGTGTGTGCGTGTGTGCGTGCGGTTGGTTGGTTGGTTGGTTGGTTGTGTTTATTTGAATTCGCAAACCGAACGGACTTGTCCCATGACAAGGAAGCGAATGATGTCCAAGTAACCCAGGAATGCGGACACAGATGAAAAGAAAATATGGGAACAGAAGGCTCTCAGCAAAAGAAGAAGAGAAAAGAAGGAAAGAAAAAGAATAAACGAGACGTGTGTGTAGCATTATGGTGATAATGCAGATTAATGGATACACACAGCTTTGTGCTACCGCTCAATCTATGCTGCTATGATTGATAGTGCTGTTACTGCATGCTCATTCTTTGCTGCTTGCTCTGCACATCACGGTGATCATGTTAACCAAAAAAGCATAGTGCATGCACATCTGGTACTCTACGTGGCTTGGTGCTCTGCATGACATTGAACGTGACTCTCTACGTTACATTGAACGTGTCTCTCAAAATGGCATTCATGCGTGGTGCTCGACTCCGATGTGGGAGGCGTTCGACGTGGCGTCAGTATGGCATTTGTATGTGGCGCTCAACCTGGGTGACATTCGACGTCGCACTCGAAGTGTCTTGCTAGAATTTGCCTGACTATTATATTTCGATCCGTTCTGTATGTGGATTATTCCTGTTTGCTCTTACTGTTTTACCCTCCCACCTTCCATTTCTCGTTACTAATTTACTTTGATAAAGTGAATAAATCATGGGGTGTTGCCCACGCTCATTTCCGGCTACTCTTGTAGAAGCTTGGCTCCGCCAACATTCTGCTCTTGCAGTGTCTACTCGGCCCACCCTGAATCCTCTCTTGTACATACTTGGCTCCGCCAACATTCTGTTTCCGCCGTGTCTACGCCTTTCTTTCCGTAGCCTCTCACTCCGATGGCCGGCAATCCCCCGCACCGCAAGTTTCTGCATGTTGTAGTTAATGTGTGTGTTTTTTTGGTTTTTTTTTGGAAAAGTGAGGCACGCGTTTTTCGGGCTCTCCTTTTTTACCCTTTTTTGCAGCCCAGCCGGCATCAGGCCGGACTGGAAGTAGACTAGATCAGTTATTAGAAGTAGAGTAGTGTCGGAAACTTGCCATGCCCGGAGCTACCATGAGAACTAACTCTCGTGTATCAGCCTTGACTGAATCTGAGACAAAAATGTTGGGCTCCCTGCCTAGTCTCGGGTCGGATGTATCGGCAGTGCTAAAAGGTCTGGCCGCACTTGTCTCTGAGGCCGCCGATCGCGAGGATCGCCTGAACAATAGGTTCGATGAGCTATCCAGACAAGTATCTGAGCTGAAGGAGGAGGTTGCTTCTCTCAAAGAATCCGCCATTGCAGCGGCTTAAGCTCCTCAGCCATGCCAGCCAGGACGTACTACGAATCGTGGTCTTACCGGTACTGACCGCCGCACAGCCTGCAGGCCGTGTAGGAGGAGTTCGAGTACGAGTAGATCTACCAGCGCGCTGAACCAAAGTCCAGCATCAGATGCGCCCCGTACTGAATTTGAAAATGATGCTCGCCCAGGGGCGAGTCCTGGCCACAGTGTGGACAGCGTGGGCGAGAGTGACGCGGATGACGGTTTTCAGCAGCCACGGAAACGAAAGCGCAACAAGAGCACAAAGGTGTTGCAGCTAATCTTCGACGATGCATGGAAACTCATTGCAGATGAGCCCCACAGAGCGAAGAGAGCTGTCGTGTATGTTGGTAATCTCAGCAGGGAGAGAACTGAAGACCGGTTATGCAAATTTGTTGATTTGCGTAGCAGGGCCGTCAACTCCAACACACTAGTAGTGCTCCATACCTCTAGCATGCATGTCAATGATAGCGGTTGCATATCTGCAACAGCGATGGTGGATGCCAGCTCCCTGCATATCCTGCTTGCTGCCAACTTCTGGCCAATGCCACTATACTGCAGGAGGTGGACCTTCCACACATCCGACAGTCGGAAGACGGCACCAGGGTCAGCTCAGCCTGGTTGCGCACCAACTTTGCCGACCAGTGATAAACAATGATGGCAGCACTGGGCGACCCTAAGTGTAAACTACTTCTAACTAATGCATTTGGCCTGATTTGTAAGCTTGGTGAATTCCAGCCCGTAGTCACCACACACCTCCCAGACAAGAGCTTGGCGGCATTGGCGCTCACAACCTTGTGTTGCAAAATCAGAGCACATACAAGATAGCCTGCACAAATGCCCGCCTCCGCATTTCTGCTGCAAAGTCAATCCACCGTCAGCGTCTTCGAGCTCGACTGCAAGCAGGTTGTGCAATCGATAAAGAGTGGTGGAAAACTCTGAAGCAAGCCAGTGGCCATGGACGCAACTCTAGCTTACCTACTATCATCGATCGTGATGGCAATTAACACTCCACCAATAGAAGCAAAGCTGAGGCGTTTGGGAAGTATTTTGCTGGGAAATGCTCTCTTGTGGATGATTTCGAGGATGAGCCTAAGTCTACCGCCCCCTTGCACCAAGTGCATTTCAGGGAACCAGCTGTAGCCCGAGCCTAAAGCAACAGGACCTGACAACATCCCAGGTTGTGTCCTCAAGACTTGTGCAAACGAGCTTGCTGCCCCCCCCCCCCCCCTAGCACGCCTCTTTGCCACGTGTTTCTCTATTGGAAGACAACCGGCAGACTGGAAAGAGGCCAGAATAGTTCCAGTTCACAAGAAGAACTCCCGTTCACCCATCAGCCACTACCGACAAGTGTCCCTGCTCAACATTACCTCGAAGGTAATGGAAGGCATTGTGAACTTCGCAATCATGAACTTTCTAGATTGCCATAATGTTCTGTCTGCAAAGCAATATGGATTCCGCCGACGCCTCGGAACTGCAGATGATCCTACATCATAAATGTCGTAGAGCTTCCGGTTCGGGAGGCTCAGCCCATGTTCTTGCAATAGACATAGCTGGAGCATTTGAAAAGGTGTCCCACAAAGGTGTGATTCACAAGGCTGCTGTCTATGGGCTCAGGGGCCCTCTTTTAACTTAGTTGACCGACTATCTATCAGCTCGGTATCTCCGTGCAGTCGTATCTGGCCATGAGTCTAATGTCTTTCCCATTACCGCTGGTGTTCCTCAAGGAAGTATATTGGGGCCTACCCTGTTTCTGTTATACGTGAATGACAGTGACACTACTCTCGGAGAGGGCGTAGATCTTTCTGTCTATGCGGACGACACCACGCTGTATCAGTGTATCACAGTGGGCGCAGACGTGAATGAACGAAGCCGTGTTTTGCAGCATGCAGTGCAGGGCATAGCTTAAGGATTTCATTTAGCTCGGACAAATGTCCTTCCGTTTTGAAATCTGTCCGGACATGCCCGGACATTTTCCACAACACATTTTCAGGGTGTTTCTTTTTTTTTAGTAGCACTGAAGTATATTCACAATAACTCATTATGTGGACGTATCTCACACATTACTATGTACAATTCGCCAATTTATTTGTATTAGAAACTGAACTATTTACTGACGACAAATGTATGTACAAGAAAGCGTTGCAGTCAAGAATTTTGCGAACGCGATATGCTCCTTGCAGAGAAGGTAAGTCAGTTCGAATTTGCGTCGTGCAATAGCGGCAGCACCATCGTCCATCTCGCACAGTGCCTTCGCAATTTGACCGAATTCGAGGGCACTTCGAGCGGGACACTCTTCCCTGCGGAAAAGATTCATTCCTCGTTTATGCATCTCCGTTCCAGCATGATCCTTGAACGCTGATGTTCTCAGGTTCTTGGATCCGGTTATGAAAGCCTCGCTGAAGTTTGTACAACTGCGGACTCTGTCTACAAACTTGATGCACAGTGACACGGAACACTTCAAACATTCTGGTAACAGCCGATCGT